ATTTCAACAATTATAGAATAACATAATTTACTTGTAATAAACTCAAAAAAATGATAGCTATACTATGATTTGTACATGTTCTTAAGAAATATGGAACCTTTTTCCAGACAAGCATTGCTGTAACTTTCTGGTGCTTTAAATGATGCTAATGAAGATCTAACATCAGTTTACCACATTTTTGAAAATCAAATTATTGGCTCAGCCTCTAATGAAATGCAGTCTTAAAGCAGTTTTAACAACCCTTTACATTTTTTTTCTAAAAACCTCACCCTGCCATTTCTATGGGGTCCCTGACTAGAAATATCAGAAGTCTACATGAATATTAAAAACAACATAATACAGCCTGTTTTTGGAAGAAATTGAGATTAATGCAAAATATTTGAGTTCTGTTTTTTATATGAAACAAATATGTATTCACTGGCAAACCCTTCTCTAAGCCTCAGTTTCCTCATCTGTCAGTTGGGGGGCAATCCTATTTAGCTCAGAGGGTTGCCAGGAGACTTGGTAGAATACTGAATAATAAATGCTAAGCACAGTGCCTGCCAACATGTACTGTCCTTCGTGTGTGCTCTAATATCGAAGGAGGGTATTAGAGCAGGGACCTGCAACAGGGGCGCCTCACTTACCCAGCTCGCAGCTTTCAACTCTGCTGGAAACAGGTTTACAACATCAGGAAAAATCCACACCGAGATAATGGATCACTCAGCAAGGCTAGTTTACTTCCTACAGGAAGGGTGCAACTTGCCAGCAGTCTTGCCACGAGATCACACTTGAACGAAGGAGACGGGGACATTTATAACTTTTATAACCTGACACAGTCACCCTACTGCTGTGTCCAGTTTCCATTGGCCGGAACAGGACCTCACATTCTATGCTTGACCTGATTGGCTAAAAACTTGGAAATTTCCTGAACAGACAAGGGGAAAGAAGACGAGGAGGAAGACAAGGAAGAAGAGGAAGCTACTCAGGAGAAGGTCAGGGGGGTTTCCAAATAAGGAATGGCATGTGTGAGGGTTTGGAGCTTGCCCAGTTCTGGTCAGACATGCCGGAGTGAGTCAAGGTAGCTGATTTAAGACGTAGCTGCTTTAGAGAATATATATACATGGTTATATGTTTATGCTAATAGTGGAAAATGGCCATAGAGCAAGACATTGTAGTCTAAGACATAAACTTTGGGCCAAGGCAGGTGGATCATGAGGCCAAGAGATCGAGACCATCTTGGCCAACATGGTGAGACCCCATCTCTACTAAAAAAAGGCAAAAATTAGCTGGGCATGGTGGTGCGTGCCTATAGTCCCAGCTACTCAGGAGGCTGAGGCAGGAGAATCACTTGAACCCAAGAGGCGGAGGTTGCAGTGAGCCAAGATCATGCCACTGCACTCCAGCCTGGTGACAGAGCAAGACTCTGTCTGAAAAAAAATAAAGATATAAACTTTGAAGACCTTTCCCATCTCTCACAAACTCCTCATGGGAGGAAGTATGGTAGCAAATAAGGCAGGAACTGGAGTGCACGAACACTGGAACCAACCAGCTGCTTCAGTGCTGGCAGGAGCAAACTCCACTCACTTGGACCCACTGTGCTCCACCCCTTGCAGGGGGAAGCATGCGGGTGAGTGGGTGTAGGAGCCAGGGTGAGCACTTTTGGGCACTAGCAGGAGTGAACTCTTTGCAGGCCCTGTGGCAGCATCTAGGGGCAGTGCCTGCAATCCCTGAAGCTCCAGTGGAAGTGTTCCAGTGCTCTTTTAGCTCTGCTGTCCATGGACGGCCTAAGTGTTAACAGCTCAGTGGTCCCTCGCCTTTTTGAGTGAGGCGGCTGCCTTCAGCGAGTAAAGACAAAGGGCAAGTTGTGATAGCCTTTGGTATCCACACTAGTGGCACCCAAGCTCTCGTCTGGCATCCAGGATAAATGAGGTCACACAAACGAATTGAAGGATGGTAAATGTGGGGGACTTTGTTGCTGATGAAAAAGGCTCTGAGCAGGAAGGGAAGCTGACAAGGAGATGAAGCGGGAAGGTAATCTTCTCCTGAAGTCCAGCCATCTCCGGCCAGATTCTTCTCTGATGTTGCACCATCAAGCTGTCCCTCTGAAGTCGAGCCACTTCTCTCTGACGTCCAACCTAGTCTCCAACATGCAGCTGCTTCTCCTCTCTCTGCCAGCTGAGTATGAGGTTTTTATAGGCACAGGATGGGGTGGGGCAGGGCAGGGCCATGGGTGGTTTTGGAAAAGGCAACATTTGAGTGGAACAGGGATATAAGTTCTCACTTTGGATTGCCATTCCTGGCTTGAGGGTGAGGTAGGGACTTGCCCCTTTCTGCCTAGATTTTCTCTGCCACCTTTATCATTGTATCAGTATTATTCTTATTACATGGCCCTGAGTTGGAACCATCAGGTCCTGCAAACTCCAGAGCATCTGCTGCATACTGGCCCCCTCCAAGGGAATTGGTCCCAGACAAGCCTCTCTGGGAAAGAGGCACATCAACTAAATGTGAAACCCTCTCCAGTTCTGGAAATACTGGTTCTGCTTTCCACAGCATTAGAATCCTCGATTTTGTGACTCTGCTGCTTTACAAGAAAGAAACAACCGTTGAAACACTGAGAATTTTCCCCAGTAGGGAGAATGAAAGAGCCCCAAGGAGAATTGGAAAGTGAGACCAGGCCGTTCACCAGGGCTCATTCCTGCCATCCAGCCCAGCATCTGGCTGCTCAGCAGACCTTTCTGCCAATGCTCACAGCCACCTAGGCCTGGGCCTGGGCACCTCTGCTGGCATCCATGATTTCTCTGCCTGCTCCACCATCAGAATCCCGTGCCCCAGGCTCCCTCGCTGGAGGCCATCTCAGAAGGAAACACCAAGGGGAAGACAGCCCTTTAAGAAGTGTGGACCCCATGTTAAATTGAGACCCCTCAGATAGATACGGCTTTGAAGCAATTGATTTTCTGTGGTGTCATAGGGAGACCTGCCCTCCCCAAAGTTTAGAAAGCTGTCTGGGACCATATGTAATGGAGCTGGAGTCGGAAGTTTTCTACCCAAATCTGTCACAGAGGAGACAAAACTAGCACTGGTTCATGATAGATAATAGAACGGCTTAAGCAAAGGGCAAGCAAGCATATGAAAATGCTGGAGAAGAACAAGGCACTTTATCCATGTCCCCCACGCACCCTGCCTCAGCCCTGAGGCAAAAGAATCTTTGTGTGAGCCCAGGCAGTCGGCAGGGACCTGAGGGCTTAATGCGTCACTTGCTCAGAGCAATTGCAACACCGCTGCTAGAATTATCTTTCTCACACAGTTCCCATCACAGTCCTCTGCAGCTTAAACATCCTTGAGTTTCCTGTGGATCCACAGGCATCTTCACATGGCATTGAAGTCCCTTCCCAGTCTGGCTCTCAGCTCTGGTCCCCTCAGGCTCCCATAGTTCTCCTGAACCTACTGTTGGAAACAGACGCTCCGTGCCACAAAGAAAAATTAGCACTGAGACAAAGGATCTCTCAGAAAGGCAATTTTTACTTCCTGTGGGAAGGGTACCCTCACCAACCATCTTGCCACAGAGAGTACAGTGAACAAAGAAAAAGCAGACATATTTATCCCTTACGCATTTGGAGTTGTCCTTACTGCTGTGTCTGATCTCCATTGGTTGGAGCCAGTCCTCACAATTTAAACTAAAACCCAGTTGGCTAACAACTTAAAACTTTTTAAACAGGTCAAAGCAATGGAGAACAAAAAGAAAGTCCAAATAAGGAAGGGGCATAAGCTGTGAGCTGAGACATGCCTGTGAGCACATCCAGCACAGATATCTTCGTTAAAGTACAAGGACGCAGAATGTAGTACGTGCCTGTGAGCATGTCACACTGCTATGTAGGATAGGGCTTAACAGTGATTAATAAAAAAGCAAGAAGGATTTATTCTTTAACAAAAAAGGAAACTTTGAAGAGGAACTTTTCTACTTCCCACAGTCACAAGCCCCATTACAAACTCAGCCTGGCGATCTCTTTCATCCTCAAACCCTAGTTCTAATCCTGCCTCTCTCAGAGCACATTCCAGAGCCCCATGCGGACACGCTGCCTGCCTTACCACCGCCTGTGATAATTCCACCAAATACATTATTCATTTATCGGCTCTGAAAGTTGGAGTGGTTAAGAGGCTCTGAGTTCAGTCCACCTGGCCCACTAGCCAAGGGCTCTTAAGCATTTAAGGTCTCTTTCAATATTTGTTTCTGCTAGATAGTTTCTAAAACTTGGGACAGAGGGCCAAAAGACATTGATTTCACTGATATAACAATGCGTGGGTACGTTGCAGATTGGTACCGTGGAAATGCCTCTACCCAGACTCACCTCTGAGATGAGTTAGTTTCAGATGTTAAGTTTGCAGGTGGCAGGGAGATGGTGAGATTCGTCAATGCATGTGTATGTTTGTGATTGGGTTGAGAAAGTTTGCTGACTTCCAAAACCTCCACCAGACACTAGCAGGGATTCCGTAAATTTCAGAATTCCAAGGGGATTGGATTTTGAAGAAAGGAGATGTTCACATACAGGCTACCAGAATTCTTGTTCTTTTCCTTTTCCTTTTTAAAGGAGTACTGAAGAAGAAAATAAGAGATACAACACAGAACCATAGTTTGTTAGGAGGGCAGAGCAGGGCTGCATGGTTCAATTTGTTGAGAGAATCAGGGAAGCATCAGAAAAGATAAGGAGAAAAATCAGTCAGAACCAAGTCAGTGTTGTGAGTTTCGCAGCATCTGAAGTAGCCAGAAGGTACTTAGAAATGTATTTTGTTTTATCACATATAGTCTTATGTTTACCTTACCATATTCCCTGGTAACACAAGGTTCCTTTAAAGTGAAGTCTGTAGCCTTAAGTCTTATTGACCCATTAATATTTCATCTGAAACAATGTAACATCTTAAACTGAAACCTAAAGGTAAGATTAGAACACAAGCATTCAGACAGGTTTGTTGTACAGCTGGGCTATGGTGAGTCAGTTAACATTTTCATTTTTTTCTTTTAGAAACAGGGAAAATTGACCAAGAGATTCACAAATACAACACCCCAGGATTCACTGGTTGCCTCTCCAGAGTCCAGTTCAACCAGATCGCCCCTCTCAAGGCCGCCTTGAGGCAGACGAACGCCTCAGCTCACGTCCACATCCAGGGCGAGCTGGTAGAGTCCAACTGCGGGGCCTCACCGCTGACCCTCTCCCCCATGTCGTCCGCCACCGACCCCTGGCACCTGGATCACCTGGATTCAGGTAAAGTCTCCAGCAATCTCCAGCAGATTGCTTCGTTTCTTTAAATCTCAGTCTCTTGGGACCATGGAATGGATTTAATACCAGCACCTCACTGGTAGTGTCAGTGGAGGATTTAAGAAAGGGCAAAGGAATGTGTGAGAAGGGAGTTCTCAGGGCAGCACTTAGCCCGTCTGAAATACTTCAGGCCAAAAATAAGTAAGTTGAAGGTAAAGAATGTAGGAACTATTAACTCTTCAATGAGTTAAATTATGACTTGCCTAAACTGACGTCTGTGCCATGACTGTGGGGTGATTTTATCAATTCGCTTTCTCACTTTTGCCTCATGACTCCCAATGACTTGCGGCCACATAGTCTGTGTTTTAAGAAGAGATTTACCTATAGCAGTATAGAGACCCATCTCCTGGCTCCGTATTTATATGAATGATAATGTAGGCTTCCAGATCCTTACGAGGTACATTTAAGCTTGCAAGACTCGGTGGATTTAGTCCCACTTCTTTGAGTGCTAAGACATGTAATTTGAAAGCACGGGACTCAAATGAAAGGATGTAGCTGTTGGCTGAGAAATTGAATGAAAAGAGTATATACATCAGCCTGGGGGGTAGACAGCCTATTAAGCTGTATCTCAGGAGACTTAGGTCCTACTCCTAGCTCCACCTAAATTGGCCTTGGACAACTCAGGTGACCTCTCTAAGCTTCTACTTTTTCGCCCATAAGGTAAAGAAGGAGAGGGGAGTGTAGCCTCTAACTGACCTCCAAATCCAACATTCAATGGGTCTCCAGGCAACATGTGATGTTGCTGATCAAAAAACAGGAGGAAGATGAGGCAGGAAGCAACACAGCTGGAAGGCCTGGATTCCAGCACCATCACTGCCTCTCACTAGCAGATTAACCTTGGGCAGTTTTCATAACCTCATTCCTCAGTTTCCCCATTTCCTAAATGGAGTTAATAAGACCTAACTCATGGAATTCTATTTAAAGTGGTATGATTAAATGTGATGTGTTTAATCACAAGCATGTAGCAAGTATAAAAGTTTAGCTACAATAATATTAATAATCATGGTTATTATATCAGACACAATTTGCTATAATGCTTGAACGTTGAGTAAACACTTCGAAATCCTTTCGCCACACAAACTTGTGATTTGTAACAGCTCATTCTCTAAACCTTGTGCGCTTGATCGCTTTAATCATGTTCTGACCCTGCCCAAGTTCTGCTTTCAGTGCAGCTGTTGTCATTGTGATTCCTTGCCAGGGTTGTGCTGCGAAGCTCTGTGAAGCTTAGAAAGAAGCCAAAATTGCTCTGTTGTCAGAATAGCCAATTTACAGACGAAACAGTCCTCTTTGTTCCCCACACATGGATTCCTAGAACTTGACGCAGGGCGCTGTGTGCTAAGGGCACATATGAAGAATTCCCTTTTATGAATGCTGTTAGGATTACACAGCAGTCTGGCTTTTCCTCATGGGCTGGCTTGAACAAAGGAAAGTGTTCCTAATGCTGAAAGAAGAAAAGTAAGAGTGAAAATACAAGAGGAGAAAAGACATGTCAGGGCCACAGAGGAACAGAGATCTCTCAGATAAATTCCTGCAAATGCCCAAGTAGACAAATACCATAAATGATCTTTGCAGTGCACGAGTCCTTCCACTGTCAAAGGGACCCACTGCCTGAGGCTGTGAACACCTGTGGTCTAAATCAGGGTGAAGAGACTAGTTTCTGAAACATCTAGATCCTACCTTGGGCCAATATGAGTTCCTATGTATTATGACTTCATTAGGAACATGTTTGTTGTTAAGATCTGTCAGACATGATTGTAGGGACCAAAGAGTTTTAATGTTTTAAAAAATCATGCTTTGTGCATGACATGTATGGATTGATGGATGGAATCAGTCTCACTCTGTTGCCTAGGCTAAAGTACAATGGTGCCATCTTGGCTACTGCAGCCTCCACCTCCCAAGCTCAAGATATTCTCCTGTCTCGGCCTCCTGAGTAGCTGGGATTATAGGCACCTGCCATCATGCCCACCTAATTTTTATATTTTTGTAGAGACGGGGTTTCACCATGTTGGCCAGGCTGGTCTTGAACTCCTGATCTCAGGTGATCCACCCACCTTGGCCTCCCAAAGTGCTAGGATTACAGGATTCTCCTTGACTGATTTATGCAAATGTATATAGGGAACGTATCTGTTTGTTAGTATTTGATGCTCAAGTCAAAATTCTGTAACTCTGATATCACAGTAGGCCCATGCTATGTAACATGAGATCCATTTGCAGAAAAATTTCCTCTTACACTTGGAGAGTTCTTACCCAGTGTCCAGCAGGTGACGTATTAATCCAATTGTCATGAAACCAATTACAAGGACAGAAAACAGTTGGCTGGGCGAGGTGGCTCACATCTGTAACCCCAACACTTTGGGAGGCCTAGGTGGGTGAATCACCTGAGGTCAGGAGTTTGAGACCAGCCTGATGAACATGGTGAAACCCCTTCTCTACTTAAAATACAAAAATTAGCCAGGTGTGGTGGCACATGCCTATAATCCCAGCTACTCAGGAGGCTGAGGCAGGAGAATCACTTGAACCTGTGTGTTAAAACGTACTCTGAATGAAGAGACCCCCTAAACAGGCTTTGTGTGAGCAACATGGCTGTTTATTCACCTGAGTGCAGGCAGGCTGAGTCCAAAAAGAGTCAGCGGAGGGCGGTAGGATAGGAGTTGGTTTTATAGGTTTGGGGTAGGCAGTGGAAAGTTGCAGAAGTTACAGTTCAGGGCAGTTTTTGCAAGCTGGAAGGGGATCGTAGGGTCTGGTGCCATGAGGTTGACCAAGGTTGATTACAAAGCCAGTTGCATTATCAGTTGAGGCAGGAATAGGGAACAATAGAAGAATGTCTCAAAGTTAATTAGGCACTGCAGGGGTTGATCATTCTTCCCCTTTTATGGTCTTCCAGTTACTTCAAACTTTCTAGTTCCAGAAACTCATCTGGAATGTACATACGGGTCACAGAGGTTACCATGCTGTCCGTGGTGCAGTCAGTCAGCTTAAAAGACCTTACAGTTCTGTCTTTTTATATTAGTAATATAAAGGAAAAGGAAATGAAGAGTGGAGGGCAGTGGAATATTCGGAAGGCTGACAGAAAGGGGAGATGTTTCTCAGGGCTTCTTTGAAAGGGATTGGGAGTGACGCAGAAACCTAAAAATGGGAAAGAATTTAGACTGCTGGGAGATCTTAGGGCAAGGGGTGATACTGTGTGGTTGTTAGAAAGAGCATTTGTTGTATTGATTAGTTATCGCTTGTATACAGTTTCTGGAGGAATTAAGAGATTAGTCAGAAAACACAGGGTCCAAATAAGAGAAGGAGAAAGATAGGTATCAGAGGACTAATGATTGGAAGAAGCCATGACACACAGTTAGAGAGTTGTCCAGCCAGGTCCAGAATCACCATTTGCCCAATTCGCGAGCTTTTGGGCTTTGTCTTTTAATCTGTTGATGGCATCACATACGAGGCCAGACTGGTTTACATAAACACATTCATCACTTAAGAATAGGCAAAGACCTCCTTTCTTAGCAGTCAGTAAATTAAGACCTCAGCAGTTTTGGAGGACAACTGCAGCTAGGGAATTTACTTGAGCTTGAAGAAGGGATAGTGATTAATTCTGCAGTGCTAGCACAGAAGTCATTAGAGAGGCTATGGAAGGTGACAATTGAAGGGGTTAGGCCTGCTATGCCTGTGCTGAGTACAAATAAGGGGATCCGTGGAATGACCTGCTTGTGTTATGTTGGGACCACAAGGGGAACAGGGAAGCTTTTGTCTCGGTTGACAAACCAAATTTTGGGAGTAAGGAAAATTAGGGTACAAGTGCCTGTCTAGTTGGTAGGAAGGCAGATGTAAGGAGAAGAACCACAGAGGGAAAAAAGTCCTTGGCTTAGACAGAGCTGGAAGTGTAAACCAAAAAGGTGAGAAAGTGTTCCAAGGGGGCTGGGACTTTGGACCCAAATACCAAGGGAACCAGCAAGGGCTGTGGCTGTTAAAGGTTGTCGTGGGGTTTGGTAGGATAACTGTATGGAGGGAGAGCTCTTGTTTTCATGGTGTTTGCGAAAGCGTTTGGTATCTGTGAGTAACCATTCACTTTCATTAACAAGGTTAAGTATAAGCAGGCAGGAAGAGGGGTCTGGAGGAGAATCTGGTGAACAAGGGGAGGGCAGCCAAGGATGGAGTAAGAGACAAGGTGAATGCCTACCTAGGCAAAACTTGAAGTTTATTTGCCAATCTTGTGCAGGGGAAAATCCGGGGCCTGGTGTATAAGAAAAGGAGGGAGTCGGCCGGGCGCGGTGGCTCACGCTTGTAATCCCAGCACTTTGGGAGGCCGAGGCGGGTGGATCATGAGGTCAAGAGATCGAGACCATCCTGGTCAACATGGTGAAACCCCGTCTCTACTAAAAATACAAAAATTAGCTGGGCATGGTGGCGCACACCTGTAGTCCCAGCTACTCGGGAGGCTGAGGCAGGAGAATTGCTTGAACCCAGGAGGCGGAGGTTGCGGTGAGCCGAGATTGCGCCATTGCACTCCAGCCTGGGTAACAAGAGCGAAACTCCGTCTCAAAAAAAAAAAAAAAGAAAAGAAAAGGAGGGAGTCTGAGAAAGCCCTGAGGAGTGGAGTGACAGAACATTGAGATGTGACTGTTTTGAGGGTGGAATTCCATGATGGAAAAGAAATAAGGGGTTCTAAAAGACGAGCCAGGGGCTTGTATCCTACATGGAAGCGGTCATGAAAGGATGAGAGGACAGAGTGAGCTTGTGAGGCAGGGAGCAGGAACTTCCCGTGGTGTATGAACCATTTGCCTTGTGTAGGAAGCGACTGGTAAAGTGAGTTTTCGGAGGAAGAAAAGGTAAGGGAGACAGATGAGGAGGAAAAATACTGGCCTCGTGGGGGAGGTACTGGGGTGTCCCCTGCTGCTTTGGCTGCTTTGTTGCCTAAGGCATTTCCTTGGGCAAGAGAACCTGATGGTTTT